TAAAGCCTCTGCCTTCGGCTCAGGTCATGATCCCAGGGTCCTGGGATTGAGTCCCGTATCGGGCTCTCTGCTCAGCGGGGAGCCTGCTTCCCCCTCTCTCTCTGCCTGCCTCTCTGCCTACTTGTGATCGCTCTCTCTCTGTGTCAAATAAGTAAATAAAATCTTTTTTTAAGAAAGGCTATTTCTTGTTTTGTCTTTCTTTTTTTCCCTTTATTTTATTTTTATGTTTCTTAAATTCCACATACGAGTGAAATCATGAGGTATCTCTGTCTTTCTCTGACTGACTTATTTCCCTTAGCATGATACTCTCTGGCTCCATCCATGTTGTTGCCAATGGCAAGATTTTGTTCTTTTTTATGGCTGAATAATATGCCATTGTATGTATATAAAAGTCTATTTCTTGGGGCACCTGGGTGGCTCAGTGGGTTAAAGCCTCTGCCTTCGGCTCAGGTCATGATCCCAGGGTCCTGGGATCGAGCCCCGCATCGGGCTCTCTGCTCAGCGGGGAGCCTGCTTCCCCTCTCTCTCTGTCTGCCTCTCTGCCTACTTGTAATCTCTGTCAAATAAATAAAAAAAAATTTTTTAAAAATCATCAATCTCTAAGTACTATAGTATAAATAAGGTACCTCTAGAACTGACCTAGTAATTTTCCCCTACCATCTACATGTAAGCAAACCAAATTTAGGAAAATATATATGCCTTAATGGATTTTAAACTACCATTACCGAAAAAATTTTAAATGCCAACTATTTTAATACTAATTATTTCCTAGGGAAAAAAGAACACACATTTCCAAATGGTAAACAACCCATCACTTCTTCTAGGTATTCTACATAATCCTTTTACTGATTAACAGAATTATAAAAAAAAGTTCCAATCAAAGTACTCAGGACAAACTTAAAATGGATGTAAACATACTTCAAAATGAACAACTATGTACTTTAGCAATAGCGCCCCGACACAGGTAAGATTCCCCAGCCCTTTAGCATTATATTACTATAAATATGACTTATAGTATTACTATATTTATTCTTCCTATATTTACTTATAGTATTACTACTTATTCTTCCTATATTTATGCTATATATTGCTATGATGCTTCAATGCAAATCCTTACCCAACTGAAAAAAAGATTAAGCCGAAGTATTTTCAAAAATGTACTTAAAAAGTCTACATAATTTGTTCAAATGTTTTATTTAATACTTTTCAATAACTCCACTGTAATTAAAATGTGAGAATCTTGAATTATTATGTTACCAAAAGATTAATTATCAGCATTAATTCAAAGAGCAAATGGTTGAGATCATGCTGTATTCAAAAACTCTGATTAAGCAACCACTTGGTGTTTACAATTTTTAAAGATATTTTTAAAGATATTACTACAAAAATATATACCATATTATTAATTTATTTTTCTAATCCAAAACCCCAAGCATTATATATCAAATGGCAATCATACAAACAGAAATTCCTTTAAGGAATTTAATATAAATGAATCTTACAAAACAGAGACTAAAAGAAATCAGCAGTTTGGATAAAGTATTGTCACACCTGGAAAGGGAACATACAAGTTTAGGGGCAAGTAAGAGACACTTATGTTTAAAACTTTCCAAAGCTTCTAAGTCGAGTTATTTTTTCTTATACCCACAAAATCTGAATTTTAAAACTTGAAAGAAGATCCAATAAAACATACAGGAATTAAAACGTTGAAAACAAGTAGTAATTAGCTAAGTTTCTGTCAGAAATAAAACAGTTCTACAAGGTGCAAACCAAATTTGTTGGGGGGTGGAGGACTGGCAGTAAGAACCCCAGAGTCATTCAATTCCATTACCTGCCCTCAGGTAAGTAGCCTGAACCAACCCCAACAAAAAAAAAAAACTTGTTTTTTTAAGACTTTCAGAGAGTAAAAATTCTGAAACCAACACAGCTCAACATTACACATACATACACACACACACACACACACACACACACACACACACACACGTACATGACTGTTGTTCCCCAGGACTGTTCAAAACATGGGTGAAGCTAAATAATTCAGTACTTCCAGCAGCAGGACCCCAGCTCATTCATTCTACTCAGAATCCAATTCGAACACAAGGTGTGAACCTATATAATGTCAAGCTTTACATTACACATTTCACTGGTATGTTCAGGCTCACAAGAACTGCATGAGGTTCCAAGTACATACTCTAGAATGTTTTAATGTTAAGGCTAATGAGTCTTGACCTAAATAGGTAGGACCTCACAAACACCAAGTCTGAAGTAATAAAGATTATTTTTTTTCTTCCCCTCAACGAAATACTCAGTAATTCATCAGATTATCCAGTATTTTATAAAGCCTTAATTCTTCCCCAAAATATAATTAAGCTTCACAAGTTTCTCATTTATAACATGTTACTGTATTCGAACATCTAGAAAGTAATGCATACTTTCACAAAAGATATTTGAAAACCTTGAGTTCTTTAACATTTAGACACAATAGCACATAATAACTGCAGGGTTCAACATTACAACCTGAAATCCAATGTTAAGCACCATCCGCTGTGAATCTACTAAATACAAGCATCCTGAGACACGAATTCATCAACTTGCATTTTACACATTATCCACATGAAACCTCAGATTCCATTTATTTCCTCTTTACCGTAAAACAAAAGCAATAGATTCGGCCAAACTTTTCCAAATGTGTCACCTTTGCAAACCATTTTACAAACCCCAAGTCAGACTGGTAATAATCAGTCCAAAATAAAGTGATGCTCCTTATATTTAAATATTTTATTTAATCTTTTTAAATGACAACACTGACGGCAGTCAATTATTTTTAGTATCTTAAGTACTAAGAAAAAAATCTTCAAGGCTTTAATTATTGAAGCTTAAGTCATTTCAGAGCCAGTCACTACTCATTTTTCCAGTGATAATTTTAATGAAACCAATGAATACCTACATCGCCAAAGTTTAATTCAAGTTTTCTCTATCAGTCAAAGGCACTAGGCTTACTGAAAAGGATTTCTGTTTAGCTTTCTCTTCATTATTTGTGATTGAAACCCCTTACACTTAGTTACTTTGTAACAAAAACAAGTTAATTACAGATAAAAGGAATTAGGAACTCTCCTAAACCAAACTGCAGACAAAAACTGAGAACAACTAAAAAAAAATCAACTTAAGAATAAAAACCTAGGCTTTAGTCATTTCAAACTTCCTTCTCAATTCTAACAATAAGGCTAGGTGTCAAACGCAAAGCTACTGATTTCAGCTTGGAAAAGAAAATGTCTAACGGATGCAACACCTATCGCACACACTCCAAGTTTCACGGTCCCAATTAAGAAAGCGTACAAATATCATTTCAATCATATTTTGGTCAGGAGAGACAAACTGATGCAGACAGATCGAGACTCCACAGCCTTTGTTCAAAAGCTTACGGATGGGCAACTAAATGTGCTACAGGTTGATAAGCATTTACCAGGCTTATGAATGCTGCTTCCAAGCTTGACAAAGATACAAGAATTCTATATGCAAATCATCTTGGACAATTTTCATTAAACACCATCGAGCTACACACTCCGAAGGAGAGGCCTATTCATCGCTACTATTTATTTCCATGTTTACCTCTCCTCCCTCCCCCCAAGCCCCCCCCCTTCACTTTCTCCTCCCACCCTGTCCCGCCATCTTGGGCCGATAGGAGCAGCCATTACTTAACTAAATGACAGTGCCAACAACTTTCCACACAAATAAACAGAGACTACACCCCGAATCCCCCCTAGCCTCCCTGGTCAGACACACAGGAAACGAGACTCCAAGAAGAAAGCACACTTAAAAATAACTGCAGAATTTCTATGGCAGAAAGACCCAAAAAGTAAACAAGTCACCTAACTTCAGGTAAAACACCCAGCAGTTGAGCATGTCAACAGCCCAATGCAAACTCTTCACGGCCCTAAACTACGTGCAACTTCCCCCTTCTGGGAGCAGGGACGCAGAAAAGCCCAAAACGTTTGGTTAACCGTAGACATTATTAACAGCCTGCCTGAAGCAAAAGAATAAAAACCACGGGAGGCAAGTAAGTCAGAAATTAGGGGAAATCGGCACACATTTACGATCCCTTGACACTGAACAGGCACCTCGGAGATCATCGGTCTACTTCCAAAAAGCCGTAAAATGAGAGGCGATTTTGTCGACCCGGTTGAGCTCGGCCCCAAAGCGTTGCTGCCTCTGTTCCTCCAGCTACAAGAGGAGAGAGCGATTTCGCAAGGGTACAAGCGAGGTATCCCAGGGTGGGGGAGAGCAAAGGCAGGAAATAGTTTTCCGGAAGCCCCTCGGCCATCGTTCGTGGCCACAATGAACGCCGGTCGGGCCGCGGGGCCCGGGGCGAGCCAGGCGCCGGCCGGGGAGCCCGTGTCCGCGCTCCGGCCCGCGGGCTGCCTTACCTTGCCCAGTAGGGCCTTCGTCCTGGCGCCATCTTCATGAAACCTCACGAACCCGAAAAGGCGGCTGTGGGGAGAGAGACACGCGGCTCGTTAGAGCTCGGGGAACGCCACCGATCCACCCCTTCCCGAGCCCGAGGCCCCGGCGGCGGCGGCTACCGCACAGAGAGCGCCAAGCCGAGGTGCCCGCCCCGCCGCCGCCAGAGGCAAGCCGCGCTCGGGCTTCCCTGGAGAGCGGCGCCAGCCCGTCCGGAGCCGACCGGGCGGGTGACGGCGGCCCGTACCTGTCCAGTCCGCCGAGCGCCTCCCTCTCCTCGGCTGTCAGGCTGGGGGACGCCTCCTCGCTCTCGCCGCTCGCTTTTCCCGCCGCCATTTTCTTTTCCTCATCACCGAAAGCGGCGGCGGCAGCGGCGGCGGTAGCGAGCGACACTCCGCAGGATTTCATGGAAACGCAGCGAATTCACAACTCCAACGCCGACACCCCCCCCCGGGCCGGGGCCCGCAACGACGCCCACAGTCTCCGCTCGGGACCGGTACACCAACTTTATCGCCGCCTCCTCCTCCGCCGCGGACGGCAGCGACGAAAAATCCCAACGCGGCGGCGGTGAAGGCGGCGGCAGCAGGGGCTGCGGAGCCCCCGGGTCGGCAGCGGCGGCGGCTCTGCTGTAGGGTCACATCGCGGGGGCGGGCGGGGGACAGCCACAGGCGGGGACGGCGGGAACGGCCGGAGCGCGCGGGACTGGGGGGCAAGGGGGGGATTCGTAGGAGACACAAACTTCCCCGGCACCAGCACAAAGTTGTTGTAATTGTGTCACACAGCGAACCCCACGCCGCCGCCGTGACCCCCCCCCCCGCGCCCGGGCAGCGCCGCCAATCGGAGCTGCCCGCTCGCCTCACGTGACCTTTGTTGACTCACGTCAGCCGTGGCTCCACTTAACTTGCTAGCTGCCGAACCCCGCCCACCGAGGCCGCCACCGACGGGGAGCGGGACGCAGGCCAATTCTGGCCGGTGGTTGGCTGCTGGGCCCGTCTGTCGGGGGGAAAGGGTTGTCACCAAGAGGCAGCAGGCAGATAGGTTGTGCTAGTTAAATACACTGGGGCAGAGAATGGAGGGTCCGGGCCGTGTCACCTCGGGAGCCGCGGAGGGATGGGGCGGGGGGGCGGGGGGGGGGGGGGGGGGGGGGGGGGGGGCGGGGGGGGAGGGGAGCGGTGGGGAAGGGCGAGGTCCGGCACCGCCCGCGGCGGGCGTGAGCAGTGAGCAAGGACGCCATGGACGGCCTTTGCCTTCCGGAGAGCTCGGCGGTAGGCCTAGACCACGGCCTCTGCGGTCCCGCGCTCCGGAGGGTCCCGGGCTTCACTGGGCTTGGTAAGGGTCGCCTCGCGGGGTGGCGGCGCACGGCCCCTGACCTCCGCCCTCCGAAGAAGGCGCACACTTTTGGCACCGCTGGAAATAATGGCCTCCGAGAAGAGCGCGCTCCGGGAGCGGCTGCCGGCCCCAGCCCGGCGGCTCGGGCGCCGCCCTAAGCCAGGCCTGCGCTCCCTGCCCCGATCCCCTCACTCGCGCGGAAAGTGAAGGGGGAAAGTCTTCCTGACCCCCGGCCGGAGGGAATGAAGAGTCGCCCATGGGGTCTGGCTCACCGATCACGGCTCCCCACCGCCGAAGGTCTGTTGGCGGCACTTTGGGGCCAAATTTTCGTACTACCTGCGTTTTGTTAGTGGTAGTTCGTTATGATACTGCAAGAAAATGACAGTTGTTAAGCAGATCTCCAGAATGTTGGTTTCGCTTTCTGTTGCTGATCTCAGGGGGTCCTTCATGGAAGAGTTGGGGCTACTTGTAGACAGGCCTAAGGGAAGACGTAGTTAAGATCCTCATCACAGCTTGCAACCCAGTAAAGCCTTTTCTACCCCCAACAACATGCCTTTAGACAACAGTAACAGTTTCTTGTTCTGACCGTATCTTAGATGTGAATAAATGTCACTAGTCTGGTTTTCAATCCGAAGTGTAATTGGGAGAAAAAGAAAATGTGCCTTTAGTCCGTTACTCTTTTCAAAAGACAAATTTAGTAAGGTATGTCTCATATAATAGATCTGTTACAAGGCACACCTCCAGTCTTCAGATACAGGAAAAGATTAATTCATGGACATACGATGGCAAGGTTTTCTTTATAAACATGGACTCTTTTCTATTTTTTAATAACCAATAGACATGATACATTTAACTTGGATTTCAAAATACAAGGAAGACAATTCAGTGCTGACTCAGTAATCCTAGCAGTATTCAATGAGAAGCTATAGAAATCCCAACTGATTTTGCACACAGACACGGTTTTAAATTGTTCCCCTGAGACCAGTAACTAGACTAACAAACTGTAGTTTCATATAGATTATATTTCATGTTTAATTACTTTCTCTGAAACACCTCTTCCATTCTTTGTGGTATTCTATTTTATTTGAATGAGTATAGAGAGCCAAATGTTTTCTACAGCTAAATTAACACATGCATTGTTAACTTTGTCACAAACATGACCTTCAAAGCCTGGGAGATTTTGACACCAAGATCTTCCCTCTCCACACACACACTTAGACTTGCACAAGCACAGATAAAATTCAGCCAGCATTTGGCCATCTTCCTGGAGTTGGCGGTTCTTGGCTCAAGCCCTTAAGAATTATAAGGCTACCACCCCAAGTCCCTCAAAACCTTTCCCACCACATAATTATGACTAGATAATAGAATTGCACTGAGTGGATGCAGTGGATGGTGTTGGAGTGACACAGACCTGGACTCAAATCCTTACTGCACAGGCTGTGTGACCTTGAGAAGATTACTTACCAACTAAGCTGGAACCATGTCTAGTCCAACTACAGAACTCCATCCTCCATTATGAAGCATGAAACAACTTTTATACAGTAACATCAATCTTTATATCACTATGTAATTTTTTAGATCTCAAATAGCTTATAATTTGTCAAATAAGTATATATACAATAGGTATGAAGCCTCCAAGGTTTAAGTCCTCATTGAAGAGAGAAATGGTGAAATAAATGATTGTGTGATTATTTCTATGTAAAATGAATCTGAAAACCCATATGGAAGGCAGAGAGGTTGAGCCAGAGCATGAGCTATGAAATCATACAGCTCTAGGTTCGAATCCTAACTCTACCACTTGATAGCTGGGTGACCTTACACAAGTTAGTCTACTTTGAGCTTCAGTGCCTGCATCTGTGAAAAAGGAAATATATCCACTTTGCAATATTATTTTGAATATTAAATGCCATAAGGTAGGTAAAGTGCCAGATACATAATATACATTCAAACACCTCAAAGGACAAAAGGAAGGGAGGGAGTGAGAGAGGAAGGAAGGCAGGTTGGAATTTCCAAAATCCTTTCTTGCTTTCACATACTGGGTTCTAAATGTATGGATCACCACTCTACCAATCACTGCCTCCTTATCCTCCCTGACCTCTCTATAAACCCAACACATAGTTTTAATCCGCATTTTACTTAAAGCATATAATACCAATATTGCTACACCCCCCCTTTATTCTAAAATTAAACCTCATATCACAACTGATTCTTATTTCATAATTCTAACTTAATACACTAGGAGCAGGGGAGAGTAATTTGAATTTACCAAGTTAATATGACTAATATATGCATAGGTAAATCAACATTTTAAAATTATATAAATTTGTGTCATGCTGAGTCCGATTATGGACTAATTAGTGTATAATTTGTAGTTAATACTTATGTAAGTACCATCAATTAATATCAGAGAAGCCTATTCAATTATAGGAAAACAAATTCAACTTTCCTTCAAAGAACTACATACTTAACCTGAAACATTTAGAAATATGTAGTTCATAATGTTAGTGTCACGTAACCCATACAGATAAAAAGTCAAAAGAACTTACCAGCTCTTCCCATACTCACTGGTGATTACCCAACTGACATCCAAACACATTGATGACAAAAATAAATACAGAGTAAGGGTTGAAGGGAGATAGGGAACCAAGCACAGACAGACTTTCAGTTATTACAAAAACTTCAGTTGTCAAAATAGTTTTGGGACTTCTAAATGAAATCAGGACTGCCCATACCCACCAGGAACCTAGATTTCTACCCTCACCAGGCTGTAAAGAGACACCTCAAATCACCACGACCACCCCACTGGGGAGGCTGGACTTCCACTCCAAATCAACAGAAATGAGGTATCACTACCTCCCTGCTGAGTTGGTGTGAGAGGAGGCCTACTACCAGTGGTAACCAGGCTACCGCTCCCATAGTATTGATGGAAGCAAAGTGGGGGGCCCTAAAGAGGCACTGCCCTGTCTCCCAGCCCGGGTGATATCAATGGAGACCTACTGGGGAGCCAGAACAACCATCCATATCCAGCAGTAACAAGAAGACCTTCCCCTTCCCCCCCAATCAACCAAGGTTGAGTAAGGAACCTGGACTTCTCCCACCCCTACCCGAAAGTGATAAGGCAGTGCTTTCCCTTCCCCGACCAGAATGATGCCAGAAGAGGCCTGCTAAAACAAGATTTAAATGAGATCCAGAGTCTCATAATACCAAAAATGTCCAGGTTTCAACCAAAAATCCTTTGTACCAAGAACCAGAATAATCAGAGCTTAATTAGGAAATACAATCAACAGATGAGAACACTGAGGTAAATCAGATGTTCAAATTATCTGACAAGGATTTTAAAGCAATCATCATGAAAATGTTTCAATGAGCAATTACAAAGCCACTTGAAACAAATGAAAAACCAGAAAATCACAACCGAGAAATAGGAAGTTTCAGCAAAGAAATAGAAGATACGAAGAAGAACCAAATGGAAATTTTAGAACTGAAAAATATAGTAGCCAAAATAAAAACCTAATGTATGGGTTCAACATCAGAATGGGAGGGATAGAGAAAATCAGTGAACGTCAAGACAGAACAATAGAAATTACCCAATCTTAACAAGAGAGAAAATAGGCTGAAAAAATAGTAATAAACAGAGCCTCAAGGATCTGTGAGACTGTAACAAAAGATCTAACACTTGTGTTGTTAGAGTCCCAGAAGGAGAAGAAGAAAAGGTCAGGGCCCAAAAAGTATGCAAAGAAATAATGGCTGAAAATTTCCCAAATTGACATGGTCCCTATCCTGAGCTCTTACTTGGAAAATTGTATAAATAAATTCTATACTATAATGCACAATGATGAGTGCTATAAGCTTCGCTAGAATTTCTGTGGATACTCACGGAAAAGGCATCTTTATCAGCTTAGAGGGACCAAATAAAGCTCCTAGCAAACAGACAATGAATTAGTAGGAAATGGGGGGTGGGTGTAGAGCTGTGTGTGTTCCAGCCGGAGGCAGCAACATATCTGCAAAATCACAGAAGCCTAAGAATGTGAGACTCTGGTAACTTCAAGAAGCTGAGACCAAAAAGGTAAGGAAAGAACTGGGAGTTGAAGTTGAAAAATTAGAAAAGCATACTCAAGAATCATACCAATGCTTATAGTGATTTTAGGCATCGAAAGAATAACTGTGGATTTGCTATTGGTGTTAGTGCTGCTGCATTAAACAAGATTTCCTTTCACCTGGGCTGAGCAGTAGGCACCAACCTCAATGAATATTGGCTAGCCAACTGGTCTAGCCCTTTTGCTAGACTGGGGGTCAGAAAACTATACCCTACGGGCCAAAACCAGCCTGCCACCTGTATTCGTATAGCTACTTCATCATGCATTAAAATTATATGAAATTCAAATTTGGCTGTCCATAAATAAAGTTTTATTAGAACACAGTCATGCTTACTCATTTATGTATTATCTA